CTCCCCTCGCCCTACACAAATCATTCCAACTCTGACCACATCTGGACTACGCCAAAGTGTTCAACCATCACACCATGTCATTTCCCAAACCAARGAAACTCCTCAGCAGTGACGCTGCTGCGAACTGCCTGCAACGCTTGCTCTGGCTTCGGGGAAGCACACACCGAGTCCCTTCCCACCACGGATGTGATGAGAGAGGGCCCAGCTCTCAGCAGAAGTCTCTCCTCACCGCACCGTGGAGGCTGCACGTGCAGCAGCCCAAGGAGCAGCCTCAGCCTCCCCTCGACCCACGGGGCTGCAGAGCTGGAGCAGGGTGCGGGTCTCCTGACTCGGCCGGGACACCTCTGATCAGCAGCGCTACCGCCCCGACCTCCGTGCGTGCCGGCACGGCAGGCCACGGACGCGTTCCCGCCTTCTCGCCCCTAATGCTGCAGCGGCGCCACAAGCAAAACTCTAAATTCTATAGCTCCTCTGCGAAGCAGCACCACACATCTCAGACTATATGGATTCCCAAAGCATTCGGAATTCTCGGGTGCCTGGCTCGCTAAGCGGCGCTTCCTCCCGGCGCGCGGCGCTTTCACCACTGCTGTGACCGGATCACGGGCTCTGCCGGCTGCAGCGGAGGCGGGAGGGCTCGGGTCGGCACCGCGGTCCCGGGGCGGCGCTGGCCGCTTTCCGAGGCCACTAACGGCTCCAACGGTCTCATCGCATGAGTGGATCCCGCCGGGATCCCGTCAAAGCCTGCCGGGCTCCGGTGCTCTGCAGGACCCACCACCCGCCCTGTCAAAAGCCAGGTCCCCTCCCAGCTCCAGCTCCTCATCCTCTCCATGTCCCTCCTAAGAGCACACCCTACCACTTGCACACCCTTATCCACATTAGCTTGCCACCAGGGCTGATTTTTCTACGTATTTTTAGTGCTACAGGATGACACATGTGCCCCCTCGATCCTCCATTCTACCTTTTGTGCTTCCTTCTCCTTTGACTCACAGCCCATCGCATCTTTCTCCCTTTTTCTTGCAGAATTTTGCCTTTTCTTTTGGAGTTTATACGTTTCTCCCACACCCATGGGGAAATACAAGATCCCCAAACCTGACAAAGCTCACATTTAGGTTGCAATAAGCTTAACAGCCCACAATTTATTTGCAGCGTGTTGAACGCAAAACTCTTTTCGTGACCCACCTCAAATGCCATCAAACGTCTCGGAATAACCTGGGCCCAGTGCCTAGGAAAGCGACACGTTCTCTCGGGAACACGTAGTCCAAACAGCGAGAYGGTTAGAAAATAGAAACCAAAATACTTCCCTGACATCAGAAAGACCTGGAATCAGACGGGAGGAGGAACAAGGCAGCTCTGTCAGCCCAGCAGAGCCTTCATGACCCTGTTCTGGGCACGAGYGCCACGGGAGCCAAGGAGAGCAGGGCAGCTCCAGAACCAGGAGCTCTCTTTTCTGAAGGGTATGATCTAGATCACGCCTGGTCCCCATACCTAGTTTGTGGTTTCTTTATCTACCAACAGTGAATGTAGATGCTGCTTGGCCCGCTCGCCTGCACTATGGAGCCCTGACAAGGAGGCAGCCACCGGCCAAAGCACCTTCTCCACCCAATTATTTCTTCCATTAATGCTCCCAATTAATCGGCGCTGTGACACCCTCTCGGCACATTTCCGAGCTGTATTTATCATTTTTAAATTAGAAAATGCACCTCATTATCTTCAGGAAAAAATAATACATGAAGACACATATTTAAGGGAAAACATTTCAACTTTAGAGCTCTTCTTGCCCAGCTGCAGGGCTGGCCTGTCCGCGCTGCCCGATTTCTGCCACCTTCCGATGCCACCCGTTCTCTTTAAGTTGCCCCCTTGGCCCTTCCACAGCTCCAGGTGACAGAATTGCCCGTTTCCTGCTTCCCAGCCCTCGCAGTGATTTTAGAGGTTGGTAACAGGGCCTTGGCACCAGGGGCAGGAGCTAATTTCACACTTTGCAGGATCAAACCAGACCACAACACAGCCAGGACGACTCACAAGGGAGCAACTTTCTTCCCTCGATACATTGAGGCCACCTGGGACCTTATTCCGGTTACTGTTTTTTGGGGAAACTCAATCCCCACTGCAACGATCCCGTTTGTTGGTGCTCTGCTAAGCGGACGCGAAGGATCCGTCACTGCTCCGACAGCTCCCAAGGAGGGCTGGGACTTGGAGCCATCCCCTGCTCCCACCAGGGCTCCTTGGGTCCTTGGTGCTGAGCAAGGGCTGGGTTTATCCTGCAGAAAACGTGAGGTTTGAGCCCTACCCACCTTGTCCCAGCTGCTCCCCAAGCAATTGCCAGGCTTCTCATTGCAGGTTAATTCAGCGGCTGCTCCTCACGAAGAGCTCGTGTCGATAAAACGAGCACACGGGAGTCGCTGAAACCCATGCACAACAAGCTGACAGGAGAGCAGAAATCCTCAGAAAACCTCCAAATTGCCGAAAGCCCAGCTTCTAAACTGGGCTGATGCACAGCACGGAGAGAAAGACTCAAAAATGGGGAAGTTGGGTGGGAGAAAGGGACCCCTAAGGCGCGCAGGTACAGGAGCCTCGGCTCCGAGTGACAGCGGACCTTTGCCATCCGCGGCAGCTGTCACCGCGCGACGCTGCTCGTGCGACGCCGAGCAGCCTCCGGAGAGGCCGAGCAGCCTCCCGGGCGCACGGCGGCCTCCGCGGCGCCGCAGGGACACGCGCAGCGAGCGCTCAGCTCGCGGGCCTCTCCACTTTAGCTGAACACCCTTCGAGCACAGCCGTGCGCCCGCAGAGGAGCCTCAGGTGTTCAGATCCCACTTCCGACAMGTGTTCAGTGTGTTTTACACGAGAGGATCACCGGGTTCCGCCCAGGAACACGTTTACACTGGAGGCACCAAGGCACACGCACCAGGAACAAGGAGCGCAGCAGGGCTGCTCCGCGCACGGGGTCCAACGCGCGGCACCGCGGACACCAGCAGGGTTTGTAAAGGGAAACGGGATCGAGTTGAGCTGCAGACAAGCACGGGCAGGCTCCGGCGGGACGGCGAGGGGCTGCTCCTCCGCCACAAGCGGGACCCGCCACGGCACCGCTTCCAGCGGGGAGCCGGGACGGCAGAAAGCTGCAACTGGAGAAACGCTCCGGCAAGTGGTTCCCTCGGGAGACGCCGGGAAAAGGGGAGGAGAAAAAAACTAACAAAGATCCGGGAGCTGCGGAGCGGGCTGCGCGGAGCAGCGGGGCCCGGAGGCGCCTGCACGTCCCGCCCGGCGCCCGCGCCCCGCAGCCCTCCTGCCGGGCGGGAGAGCCGCGGGAGAGGGCGCGGCGGCGGCGGGGAGAGCCCGGCGGGGAGAGCCCGGCGGGGAGAGCCCGGCGGGGAGAGCCCGGCGGGGAGAGCCCGGCGGGGAGAGCCCGGCGGGCGGCTCCGCAGCTGCCCCGCGCGCTGCCGGGGACTCCGCAGCCCCGCGCCCGGCGGCAGCTCCCGCCCGGCCCGGCCCCCCGGCGGCGCCGCC